AATCAAACAAGATGATTGTTTGAGCCAATTCAATATCTCTTCATAAACAATTCATGCATGTGCTTGATTTAAGAAGATTCAGAGTTCATGCAAGAAATATTTACTTGATTGAAACTTCAAATTCGCTGTGAAACAAGATATAGATTTACTCATTTCAAGATTATATTTTGTCGTGCATATATGACACTTTTATTTGCTCCATTCAATTGAATTTTGCTTGATTCAACAATTCCTTTTTTTCCGTGAAGTTATTGAAGATTGTTTGAAATTTTTCACAGACTCAGAACTTGCAAAAAAAAAGTTTTTTCGTCGACCCCTTCAACATATCACATTTAACCAGAGATTCACGGCTTGACTTGATATTCAAGCTACTTGACTTGACTTGACTTGAAATCAAGTCAAGTTCAAGTCAAGCGAAAGTATTTTAATGTCAAGTCAAGTCAAGTAATTATTTATCAAGTACTTGAAAAATCAAGTAGTTCTATCAAGCTACTTGATTTTCAGCAGTTTTATTGTGTATCTATACAGCGTGACTCACGGTCGATGTTATAGGTTAGACGTTTATGGAGAACGCGACGCGGGATTTTTCTGAAAATTTCGCATACACAAGAAATTCCTGAAATTGAAATCTCGATTTTTCGCACTCTATATCTCCATAATCTTTTCCGCTATACCCCGAGTGATGTATCGATGAAATCAACTCTTCAAGGAGAATCTGAAAATGCAATAAAATACAGAGTGTTCCATTCGAAATAACAAAGTGGTTCCTACTTTTCTATAGAAGCGGCAACGTCGTGATTTTGAAAATATATTAGATCGATAGTACCGATGATGAAATGTGAGATGCGAAATTTTCAGAAATATCCTGCGTTGCGTTCCTATCATAAACGTGAACGTCTAACCTACCATCGACCGTGAGTCACCCTGTATATAACTGATGAAATGAAAATAGCATCGTAAGACTGACTGCGCGATCGATTCAGTCAGCTCGGATCTCGGGGAACCCCCGTATTTTGTCTAAGCGTGAGCGAGCTTGCAGAAATATACGCCGTGCGACTCGTGCATATCAAGATCAAGTATTACCAAGTAGCTTGATTTCAAGTCAAGTAATAAATATCTCAAATTCAAGTCAAGTCAAGTACGTAATTTGCCACGAGCTTGATTTTCAAGTCAAGTCAAGTAGTTTGTTAAAATATCAAGCTACTTGACTTGATGAATCTCTGCATTTAACGTTCTAATTTCCGAACGAAAAACTGACTAATTCCGAAAGCAAGTACTTTTCGTCTACAGACACTCACTTTTCGTTCGCAAACACATTTCGTCCGCTGCAATGTTGCCAGTTCTACTGAATTTTCCATATATCTCCAAATTTGCATATTGATCCACTGATCTATATACCCTTTTCAAAAGTACATCCTAAGAATATGAAGGAGGCCATACTCTTATGTACTGAATGAACCAACCAAAAACGCCTCTAAGAAGTATCAAATCGTTAGGCACGGATAGAAAGAGAAAATTCGATTTATGTGTCAAGATCAACATGTTGAAATGCCAAAACAAAAGATGAATCATTCGAGAATTGGACTACATGATCGCCAGAACTTTTATGACTTTTGAAAACACATCTGTGTTTCAGAATGAAAAATAACGATATAGCCAACTCATACAATGAGTAGAAGATTTTTCTTTGGCCTACCATAACCTCTTTGCTGATCAGTCAATTCACCCAGAGAGTAATATTTGAGTAGGTTCTGAAGGAAGAATTTCAATCTTGTATGCCCCTCGTATATATATATCAAGCGATGATGAATGAATCCGCTCGAACCGAAAATTAATTTCCATTTCCCAGTGTTCCTCCAACGCACATCAAAATACTTCCACACCTACCTAACGCTTTGTAATAAAATTTCATATCCACACACAGTTGAATTGAATCTTTCTTTCACCATTCACAGGGTCGGATTCGAGTCAAAAAGAAAATACACATTGACAACACTGAACGAAAATGAAAAAAAATCCTAAACAAGCATGACCTACTACATGCGAACAATACGACAATATAACTAGGATTTTATATGTATACAAAGAAGGATAAACCGTTCGAAACACTATAGGAACCGACTAGAACAGTATAAGAATTCTTGAAATTTCAAAAATATACAGGGTGTCCCTTAATTAGCCTACTAAACTACACCAGCAACTTGTTCCAAAAATAGGGAGTGAGTCGAATAATGGCTCCTGAGGCAACTACGGCTCCCTGAGGCTCCTGAAAATGATATTTCCTGAATATTTCCGACACGCGATGTGATGAAATGATGCAATTCGATACAAGAGCTAAACTTTCTATGCCCAACACAGTGAAAATAAATTCATTCCAAACTGTCATTCAGGGTGGGACTGTATCAAATATTACTCAGAATTTTTTCAACTACTGAATAATACTCGAAATCATCTCCACAACATTTTAATATGATGAAACGATCAAATCAATTGGTACATGTTTCGGACATATATGTCCATCCTCAGCCTATCAAAAATTGCTACATGAATTGTGTCCTAGAATGAATGTGAATAAGTGCAAGAAATGAATTATTGAAAATGGAAAGCTTACGTGAGAATTGAAAAAAAGATTGGTTGCTTACTAATATCAATAAATGTTGAAAAGGGTGGGGTTTCATTTTTGAAAAAGCAATGGGGTACCCAACAAACCCCAAATCTGGAATTATGGTGGAAACCACTGCAAAGACCACCAAAAGGTGCAAATTTGCAACAATACAAAATGGGGGAACGTGCCTATGGCCATCTTGTTTCGTACTCGACGAAAGACAGAAGTCACCTGACTCAGCTTAATGAAAACAAAGGCATGAGTCACACGTCACACGTCATGCCACCTGTCTTCTCTGTTGACATATTTAGTAGTTACTACTTTACTCCACTTTGAGAAATCATGGACGTCAACCAAAGATCAAACTTTTTTGTATGCATATTTGAAGACAAAGTTATCTCAGTTTATTAAAATCTACCAGGTGACACAGGTTATCGGGCCATCCTTGTAAATCCTGCATTCGAGAACGGATTTTCTCACACTCACACCACGCCCCCCGAAAGATTGAATGCCCAGGATCAAGTGCCGCCATATAACTAGCTTACGTTATATGATAGCTCCTCATCCCCATGTCCATCCACCCCCACTCACTAACGAGTGGACTTCAATAACCTTATGCATTTGGCAATCTGCATATGTTTTATAAAACCCCTTACTTGGTTTCAGTCTCCCGAGTTTTAAACCTTTTCTAAAATTGGATAAACTTATGTAAGCAGCCGCTTCGGATTTGATGACTTTACAATCCAATATGGTGGACTTCCGGTTTTTTGAAAATGCCAGCAACTTCGTGTCTTCAAATGGAACACCCTGTATATTTTTACTTCCTCGAATTCAACAGGTCAAACAAGTGCAATCTTATAAAAAGATCAAGAATTGTTGTTTTCCATAGCTTACTTGAGAAATTATTCGAACTGCAAGAAAATTCATGAAACTATAGTTGTTAATTTTCGAATGTATACAATTTGATACAATACAATAATAATATGTTATTTTTCCCTAAATGTATGTTCTAGATAGACATGTAGATGGTCCAGAGAGGTTCCATTGAAAAAAATGATGAAAATGTGATGTGACTGAATGATTCATCGATAAGAGAAACAAAAAATACTTCTTCAGAAAGAATTATGTTTCTTCAGTACGTGGGACTCATTTCCACGAGGTTAAATAAATAATTTTCAAAAAAATAACCAATGCCATGAAGATTGCACTCATTTTGAACTGTTGAACTAGAATATGTAAGAATATACAGGGTGTTCAATTTGAAGAAACAAAGTTGCTGGCATTTCCGGAAAACCCGGAAATGAATTGTAATGTGATGTAACTCGAAATGGTTGATTATAGAACTGTACCAAATTTCAGAAAAATCCGTTCACGAATGCGGAACTAACAGGGTTGGCCCGGTATATCTTTCTACAGAAAATTAAAAACTCCTGAATGGAATTTCAGAATTATTTATTTTCAGTGAATTGATCATAAAAACTTCAGTTCTTGTACCAAATTGCATCATTCAGTTTTATCACATGGCGTATCGGAAATATTCAGGAAAATGCATCTTCAAGAGCCCCCTGTAGAATAGATAACCGCCTCAGGAGCCATTTTTCGACTGATTTTCATTGGAATATTCCTTCCTATTTTTGGTCGTAGAAGCAACTACACCTTTTCCAATTGTAATTCAGAAAGTATAAGATGTAATTCAGAGAGTATAAGTTCTTATTCAGAATAGTTAATTGTAATTCAGAAAGTATAACTTGAAATTCAGATTAGTAAATTGTAATTCAGAAAGCGTAATATGTAATTCAGATTAACCAAATTCAAGTCAGAAAGTGTAACTTGTAATTCAGAATAGTGGAATGTAATTCAGAAACCGTCAATTGTAATTCAGGAAGCATAACTTGTAATTCAGAAAGTATCACTTATGATTCCACAGTATTTATGAATTACAAGTGATGCTTCCTGAATTACAAATTACGCTTTATGAATTCCAATTGACTTTTCTAAATTGCAAGTTACACTTTCTGAATAACATTTCACTAAGCTGAATTACATGTTATGCATTCTGAATTACAATTGACTAATCTGAATCACAATTGACGCATTCTGAATTACAATTAACTATTCTGAATTACAAGTTACACTTTCTGACATACATTTTACTAATCTGAATTACAAGTTACACTTTCTGAATAACAATTGAAAAAGGTGTAGTGAGGTTAATCAACCCTGTTTAAATAAGAGATCACGAATGATGAAGGTACGCTCAACAATATTGCTGCAATTTTTGCCTCAATCAATGTTATTCCTCTACTTATATGAGTGTTTGGTGATCGATATCGTTGACCTGAACCCACCCCTGTTCCTTTATATCCATTCGCATCTCCCTTTTTAATTCACTCACCTGTACCATTAGCGAAATGGCAACGATTCCCTGTGATTTGTGCTGAGCTTCCGACATATTGTGGTATAATTCTTTATTAAAGCCATACAATTGAATCTGGAACAGAAAAATAAAACGTATATGGCAGAGGTGGTGTATAGAGATACGACTAATCGTGATAGAGCTACTCATACAGTTTGGAGGAGAATTATAAATAATAATAATAATATTTATGATCCGAAATGGTTTCATTTCATTCATCAATATTTCCCATATCACTGATATGAATGATTATTTTTGGAAGTTTTCAAGCTCATCAAGCCAGTATACTTCTCCGACATCCCAATTTTTATTTCAATGCTGAATATATTGGTATAGTTATTTAACCAACTAGTATATTAATGAGGGCGATTAATGATCGAGATATTTTAACGTGCGAGCGAAGCGAGCGCGTTAATGTTCGAGATCATTATTCGCCTTTTAATATACAAGTTGGTTACAAAATTTTTCCGTCGACTATATTTCTCATTTCTCCTGCAATGAAGAAAACTTGGTTCACGAATTCATCATTCATCCGGAAACTGCTATGAATCACCCAGTAGCCTTGTCACTGACATTAGTGACATTTGACATTTGTCGAAATGATCAACATAGAAAATAAATTCCTTGTGTTAGAAAACAGGGATTGAAATCGTGTCAGAAACTTGGAAAGGCGAACCCGTTAACAGAAAATCTTCGATGAAATCCATATTTTCGATTTAAATGCAGATTCCGTAAGTTATAGGATAAACAATGAATGCACGCGGTGTATGTTTGGTTGCCTATAAAACAATCGTGTATTAATAAACAAATCGTTCATTAATAGGGGTCATTAATGAACGATTTCATATACATTAAACTTAGTCGTTAATACGAAGTCGACGGAAATAGTTATTTAACCAACTAGTGTATTAATGAGGACGATTAATGATCGAGATATTTTAACGTGCGAGCGAAGCGAGTACGTTAATGTTCGAGATCATTAATCGCCTTTTAATATACAAGTTGGTTACAAAATTTTTCCGTTGACTATGTTTCTTATTTCTCCTGCAATGAAGAAAACTTGGTTCGCGAATTCATCATTCATCTGGAAACTGCTAAGAATCACCCAGTAGCCTTGTCACTGACAATAGTGACATTTGACATTTGTCGAAATGATCAACATAGAAAATAAATTCCTTGTGTTAGAAAACAGGGATTAAAATCGTGTCAGAAACTTGGAAAGGCGAACCCGTTAACAGAAAATCTTCGATGAAATCCATATTTTCGATTTAAATGCAGATTCCGTAAGTTATAGGATAAACAATGAATGCACGCGGTGTATGTTTGGTTGCCTATAAAACAATCGTGTATTAATAGACAAATCGTTCATTAATAGGGGTCATTAATGAACGATTTCATATACATTAGACTTAGTCGTTAATACGAGGTCGACGGAAAAGTTATATTTCTATATCATTATACATTATATTATTCATCCGATTCGAAAAAGAATGTCAATTCTCAATTTCGGAGGATTTTATTTCTTATTTTTCATGTTCTCCTTTTGGATGTTCATCAGATATAATTCAATGTTCGACGTGGCAAATAGCCAGGAAGGTAGTTGTTTTTTGTTTAATATTCAGAATGATCTGTGCATATGAATATTTTTGTCTGAAGGAGAATGCAAATTCTCAATTTCAGAAGATTTTATGTTTTATTTTCAAACTCTTATCGTGTGTGTTCAATAGATGAAATTCAATGTTCGTCGTGGCATTTAGCCAGGAAAGTAGTTGTTTTCTATTGAATAAACTGAGAAAGAGTTGATAAGATATCCTCATCACATAGAGAATGCAAATTCTCAATGTATTGCTTTATATAAATATATATCCATTTTTGTATGATCATAATTTATCTGAGAATATTCCTTCTCACTTATAAATAATATTTCTTTTTTTTGGATGTATGATAAATTTATATTCATCATACAGGACGTGAAAAGAAATTCTGAATTGAGAAAACCTAATCACAAATCTGCGAGGTCTATGGAAATAACAAGTTTCCATCGTTCAAGTTTCAACCCCTTGATTGGGTGACAGTATTGAAAAGGAATATTCTCAGATATATTTACGAACACACAAAAAAATGGATATATATGTAAAGAAATACATTGAGAATTCGCATTCTCCATGTGATGAAAATATTAATTCTTTCTCGGTTTATTCAACAGAAAACAACTACTTTCCTGGCTATATGACACGATGAACATTGAATTACATCTATTGAACACACAGAGATAATGTCAATTCTCAATTTCAGAGGATTTTGATTTTTTATGCTCTCTTTTTGGATATTCAACATGTATAATTCAATGTTCGACGTGGAAAATAGCCAGGAGAGTAGGTGTTTTCTGTTGAATATTCAGAATAATATTATATGCATATCTTTACATGAGGGAGAATGCAAATTCTGTACTCCAGAAGATTTTGTTTCCAAATTCTTATCGTATCCAGTAGGTGAATAAAAGCATTTGAAAGAGCAGAAAAAATTACATGAAAACGGTACTCCTATCAGAATACAACAATTTGAACCGTTTGCGAGATATTTGAGGTTTTGTTGTAACTTGTTATCAGCAGCTATCCAAATTTTAGGAGGCCATGATTGATTCTGTTCTTGCTATCGAACCAGTTCAACACAGTTTATTAAAAAAATTCAATATCTGCTCGGTTGTGATTTTATACACTTGCTGCTGAAAAAGGCATGGTGATATATGCATTAATCCAGAATATGTGAAAACTGTATGAAGAATTAGCGGATTTTACAATGATGTGAGCTTTTTGTTGTATTAAAACGAGAATGGTTTTTGGTTCTTTTATGAAATCGATTCACGGAAGGTAGATTGGAAACGGAATATCATAAATGGAGATTTATGATTCGGTATGGAAAATATATGCATTCATTTTCATCATTGCTGATACTGATGATCATGTTTTAGGTTTGAAATTATACTGACTATTTCACGCAGTTATCAAATGTGGAGCTCGAGTCAGGTTCAGATTATAGATAACACCAGAGCTTTGACTCTGATTCACCTGTCAAGTTCGGTGTTTTCTATGTGTATGTGAGAGTTAAACGTCGAGTATAAGCATTGGCGGCGGAAAAACTTTCATTCGGGGAGGGGTGGCTACAGACTTGGCTACGTAAATTGAATAAAAAATGCGAATATAATTTTACTGCAGTACTCATAAATTTTTGATTGAAAAGCGATAGGTCGCCGACTTTTCCACGGTGTTCTAATGCAGAAATGAAAATTTTAGAAGTGACCGCAGTATGAAGAGTACTATCGTCTGCAGAGCTGTGGATAGGGCAAGTGGTTGCTCCTAATAGATCGTTGATATAGAGTAGGAATGATGTAGGCGTCAGAATGTATCCCCATCTGATTATGTAACACAACCTATGTCTTCTTCTCTCACTCTCTCCCTCCCTCTAAAATGAAGTCTTATTGAGGTGTCGACATCTGAGCGCAAACAAACACAAATTCAACACGATCGTACGCCCCTGGTTCCCCAAAGATCCACATCAAAAGATTCCCTATTCCGTCAGAATGTCTAAAACGACGAAATCTTGTGAGGGGATTAGTCGCACGTCCAGCCGTTAGTGGTTCGAGGCATACCTGGCTTGTAATTCCCAGAGAAAACGTCTCCTGAGAAGAGTTTCATCTGCAATTATTAGTCATTGAGCGACAAAAAGAGGAAAAAGAAACACAGGGGCGGGTTTGACGACTTTGAGAGCAACTACGAAAAAGCCGAAATGCTCAAAGTGGAAGTTGAAATATTGTCAGTCGGGCAATCAGCCACTGCTATGTCGCACCGGGATGGAAATCTCTGTTTTGGAGTGTTCCTTCCACTCTGGATGGTGCTACCCATGTGGTCTATCACTTGCGTCATGCACTATTCGAATTTCGGGAGTATGCTATTCAATTTTCTGCGTGATATTCACGAGGAATGTAGTTGTTCTTCTCCCGTCATCTACCATTGTTGTTCATTTTATGAACATTCATGAAAATGCCTTCGAGTTTTGTGTCTATTTAATTGACTTTGAAAGCATTGAAACTTGTTTCGAATAATAGTAGGTAGAGGGACACTTCTGCCACCCCCCCTCCACACAAGTGGAAGTTAAAATAACGGCAGTCGGGCAATCAGCCATCCCCATTTCTCATCGAGATAGGAAATTCAGTTCTCGAGTTTTTATTTCCTTCTACTCTAGATGGCGTTACATCCATGTCTCTGAGGGAATAAAATGCCAATCAGGTTTTTGTTGGGCCTGGTTACGCTCAGCTGGCAGACTTAGGACTGCTAGATGAAGACTTCCCTACACAGATGAGGTCCAAAAGCCCGAAACTTGTCTGTAGGTGATCAAAGCGGCATTAAGGAAAGAAACAATTGCATCAGTATTCGTATTTCGGCAAGATAGTATTCAATTTTCTGCGTGATATTAGCGAGGAATGTAGTTGTTTTTCTTCCATTATCTACCATTATTGTTCATTTTATGAATATTTGTGCAAATGACTTTTGTATCAATTTATTCGACTTTATAAGCGTTGAAACTCGTTTTGAATGATAGTAGGTAGAGGGACATTTTCGCCATCTCCCCACCCACAAGTGGAAGTTGAAATTACGACAGTCGGGCAATCAGCCATCCTCATTTCTCACCGGGATAGGAATTCTAGTTCTGGAGTGTTTCTTATTCCCTTCTACTCTATATGACGATACACCCATGTCTGAGGAAATGAAATGCCGATCTGATTTTTGTTATGCCTGGTAACGCTTAGCTGGCGGACTTAGGATTGCTAGCTCCAGACTACCCTACACTGCTGAGGGCCAGAAGCCTGAAATCGGTCTGTAGGTGACGAGCGTTAACCTGGCTCAATCAAAATCAATCAGCATTAAGGAAAAAAAGATTTGCATCAGTATTCGTTTGAACGAATCTATGCGTAGATTTCGGGAAGATGTGATTAAATGTTTTGCGAGGCATTAGCCAGAAGAGTAGTTATTTTCTCCAGTCATCTTGTTGTTGTTGTGGAAATGAGTGAGTTTTGT